GGATGGTTGGGGATGATGACGATGGTACTGATGATGACGACGATGCCGATGAGTGATGATGATGGTGGTGCTGATGATTCTAATTCCGGTGATTCTGATAATGATGCGACGCTGCTGCTGATGATGGTGATGGTGGCGATGAGGATGATAACGATCATTCTGATGCTGACGAGTATGCTGATGCTGCCGCTGATGATGCTGCTGCTCATGATGATGATGATGGTGTTGATGATGATGATGATGATGATGATGATGATGATGATGCTGGTCATGCTTATGATGATGAATATGAATATGAATATGAATATGATGATGCTGATGCTGATGCTGATGCTGATGCTGATGCTGATGCTGATGCTGACGCTGGTGATGCTGCTGCTGCTGATGCTGCTGATGACGATGATGATGATGATGATGATGATGATGCTGATGATGATGATGCTGCTGATGATGGTGATGCTGCTGATGATGATGATGACGACGATGACGATGACGATGTCGATTATGCTGTTGTTGATGATGATGGTGCTGATGCTGATGCTGATGCTGCTGATGATGATGATGATGCTGATGATGATGATGATGATGATGATGATGATGATGATGATGATGCTGATGCTGATGCTGATGCGGATGCTGCTGTTGCTGCTGCTGCTGATGATGATGATGATCATCATGATGCTGATGACGATTATGATGCTGTTGCTGATGAACATGCGGCTGATGAAGAACATGGTGATGATGGCGAGGGGGAAGAGGAGGAGGAGGAGGAGGAGGAGGAGGAGGCCCAGGAGGAATACCAGAACAGACCGATCACGCATAGCTGATTTTGCATGGACCCCCGGGGGTGCGGATAATTGTGAGCGGGCGCCCAGTCCTTACCCCCACCATTCCCTGCACCCCTAAGGCCCTACCTGGCCCCAAGCTCAAACACCCACCCAGCCACGCCCCGCTGCACCCCCTTCCACCTCTTTTCTGCATCCTGGCTCCAGAGGAGACTCCAGTAAGCTTCCCCGCTGAGCTCAGCTCTCCAAGCGATCTTCCTAACCGAGCTCTCCTGATTGGAGGTCGATGCGTTCCCACTTGAGCCCGTCACTGACCCAGGTGGTTTTTGGGCAATAGCTCTGGCCTCCAGCGGCCGCTCGGGACGATCCAGGGACCCCCAGATTGATATCGGCTAGGCTCGAAGAGGAAACAATATCATACACATACTTAAAATATTCTGCGCTCCGCGCAGATTTCTCGGGTCGGCGCTTGGACCCCCTGGCGGGGCCTCTGGCGTCGCCCCTTGCGCGCTCCGCGCGCCAGGGATGGGGGGTCCAACGCCGATCCAAGAAATCCGCGTGGACCTCCGAAAGTTTACGTTTCCCCACATCCTATGTGGGGTTCTTGTTTCTCTGCACCGCCCCCGCGCAGGAGACCTCACCCCCTTTCTTCTCTACATCACTCACTCACTCATTCATTCACTCACCCACATACTCGTACACTCACACACTCCTCCTCCTCGTCACCATCGCTCACTCACTCACTCAGTCACTTACTCCCTCATCATCATCATCATCATCATCATCATCATCATCATCATCATCATCATCATCATCATCATCATCATCATCATCATCATCATAATCATCATCATCATCATCATCCTCACTTACGCCCGCACTCACTTGCCACTATCACTGATCATTCACTTACAATTATTGCTATCACCACCACCATCGTCAGCATCATTCTTATCACAATGCCATCATGATCATCGACCGTCGGTCGAAGTGAACTGTCAGGAAGTCTCAAGCGGGACCCCCCTTCCCTAAGGGATTCGCACTTCATGTTCGAGTCCGAGGCGGGTCGTCGGACTACCATAGCAGGCACAGCACTCGAGCACCCCAAGGAGCCTCGTCTGTGAGTTAGCTGTGAGGAAGTCTCGAGCGGGAACCCCCTCCCTCAGGTCCCCGCACTTCACGTTCGAATCCGAGGCGGGCCATCGGCCTACCATAGCAGGCAACATTTTTCGAGCACCCCAAGGGGCATCGTCTGTGACTGAATTGAGAGAACCCGTCTGTAAGGGCCCCGCATTTCATGATCGAACTCGAGGCGGTCATCGGCCTACCACAGCAGGCATATCACTAGAGCACCCCAATGAGCCTCGTCTGTGAGTGAGCTGTGAGGAAGTCTCGAGCTGGACCCCCCCCTCCCTCAGGGCCCCGCACTTCATGTTTGAATCCGAGGCGGGTCCTCAGCCTAGCATAGCAGGCATAGCAATCGAGCACCCCAAGGAGCCTCGTCTGTGAGTGAATTGTGAGGAAGTTTCGGGCGGGAATCCCTGTGGGGTCCGCACTCATGCTACTAATCCGAACGGGTTTTCGGAACACTGTAACTGTCGTGATGTTTGGCTTCTTCGAGCTTGAGGAGGAAATCCTTCGCCTCGTTTGTGCAGGACATGGTGATCCTCTGGCCGCTCGCGCGTGAAGTCCTGGAACGCGGTCCGCCGACGTCCTTGCGGGAGGCGCTCAGGAAGTTTGACAAGGCAGCGGTGAGCCCCAGGGCTGAGGTGGAGCAGCTCGCGGCAGAGCTGGGCTTCGCGCTGCCTCCCGCAAGTGCGCGGCCGCGAGGAACTCGAGGCCTGCGAGGTTGTCCCAACGGCTCGCTCCCGCCCCCCAGCAGCTCGCGAGTTTAACCCAATGGCCTGGCCCGCGGGATCGCCCCAACGGCTTCGCGATCTGGACATCGGAGAACGCGCCCCTGCTGGCCGCGGCGGCGACGGCGCCAAGGAAAATCGGTCTGCGTGCCCTGGCCAGGAGAAAAGAAAGGCGCACGAGGAGAAATGCGACCCGCAGGGCTCTTGATCCTCCGTCCCTCCAGTTCCTCGTCCTCGTCCCTGTCTTGCGACCCCGGCGCAATCTGAAAGCTCTCTGGTTGGCGGCCTTGCCGGTGCGACTCCAAACTTGCTTCTGGCGCTCACGCTGCCCGGCCGAGCCAGGCGGGGCGGTTGACAGTCGCGCGTGAATGGCAGTCAAGCCAACGAGCCCGAGGGGAGGGCAGGATTTGGAGGAGACAGGGATGAGAGCGCGGCGGGTAGATCAGCGACTGCCTTGCTCCTTGCGCCCGCTGCCTCGGCAGGCCATTTTTTTTTGGCTCGGTCTGCCCGCCTGGAGTGGCGGAGTGAATTACCATGTCAGGCGGAGGAGGAGGAGGACGAAAACGAAACGAAGAGGAGACGGAGGAAGCGTCGGCATTGAAAAGTATTTTATCGTGCGAGTGCTGGTCCATTCGCGCGCAGATTCAACACCCATCCAAATTTGGGGCAGCTTGGCTCAGGGCTCCTGCAGTCCTTCATGTCTGAGTATCGGAACTGCTCAGTGATAGACTACCAGTCGCCGCGTGAAACAAATGTTGTGCATATTCCTGTTTCGAGGTTTTTGCTTTCCAAGTGTTCGATCCACGGCGAGTCCTTCGACACCTTACGAATCTACTTCGACCGTGTATTTTGGCGCAGCCATCCAGGATTCGATGTTTAGGGAAGGAAGTGGATCGTGCGGTGGAATTCGGATATGATCGCCCACGGCCTTGCGCACCATGACGTGCAGGTTTTGCTATTGGAGTACTTTTGTGCCCGTTCGCAGCTCGCGGCAGCAAACGGGGTTGATGTAGCGGTTTCTTTTTTTGAAGAAGCGTCATGTTGTCACCATTTGCGCGGCCCCGCTCCTGAGCGATTCATCACAAGGGTGCACGGCGTGTGAGATTTCAGGGATCTGTCCTGGTTCTCTTCCAAAAGAAGTCTTAGGGCAGCTTCGGCCCATCCCGCCAGCTACCCGGAAGACTCCGGTTTCATTGGCCTCCCCCTGTCAGATGGCTCCAGGATTGCTTCCAAGATGGCAAAGATGGCCTCCGAGCTGGCCGATATGACCCCAAGAGAGTCTAAGCTGGCCTCAAGATGCATCCAAGACAGCGCAAGATGGCCTCCGTAGCAATTTTGGCTCAAGTGGCTCAAAAGATTGTCGCCCAAGATTTTTATGCTGAAGGTAAGCAGCCGATTGGCGACCTTGCTTTGGTGTTTTGTCGCGAAAAGGTCCAATCGTGGGAGACAGATTTTGATATCCGTTGGATGCATCGCGTTGATTTGGGTGCTGACCTGCGTTATTGTGTTTACCACGCTGCCAGACTCTACTGTTCTTGTCCTCGGGTATCAGCATGAGGCCACGATGTGGCAAAACTTTGACGCTCAGATTGATGCAGACCTTTCTCCGTGGCGTCACAGAACACTGAACTGGTCCTTGGCGCTGCAGCTGTCCAAGTCGGTGCCGAATTCATTCGTATTGCGATTTACGTCAACATCTGTCCAGGTCATGTCTGATCACAAGATGGAGGCCGGTATCAGAGCATGGTGGGATAAATGGATCAACGGGTGCCCAGCAAGAACGGAGCTCGTCAGCGTGATTTTAGATCATTTTCGCGATGGAGTTGCAAGCATGCCTTTCGATAAAGTGGCTTACATGGTTATAAATACGAACGATGAGCCTTTAACGCCGCCAAAGGACGAAACCCAGTGTAAGCAGTTGTTTCATGATTCGGTTAGCCCAAGCATTCCAGCGCGCACTGGAATACAGGCATGGACAGCTTTTCCAGTCATGTCGTACGCCAAGATTCCGTTGTGCTCGCAGGACATTCTGCTTCCTTGGCCAGACTTATTTGTTCCAACCAATCGGCTCCGATGCTCCAGCTTGCTATTCAATCCGCCTCTACCGTTTCCACTGAATGTAAACAGTCGCAGCA